AAGATGAAAATATTCCCCTTATATTAGGACGCCCCTTCTTAGCAACCGGTAGATCAATTATTGATGTAGGAAAGATAGAGCTAAGAATGAGTGTGGGGGGCGAAACAGTGATCTTCAAGGTGTACCAGGTGGATGAAAGGCCTATTACGGCTAATGGATGTTATCTTCTTGATGAGGTAAGTGATTCTAAACTTTTTCCTGTTAAATTACATGATTTAAATTTTTTTGTGGATACTAATGTGCATGTAGGAGAACAAAAGAAAAAGGTTGAGTTGGTTACAACACCTACTCAAAACACCGTGATAAAAGACAATGTTGGCAAGCCTCATGATATCAAGAAGAATAAATTCAAGGGCTTTCCTAAGCGAACCAGTCGAAAGAAGAATCGGATCAACCCATTTATTCAAGACTTTCTCCAAAAGGAAGTAAGGAGATGGGTTCAAAAGCTAAGGAATTGAAGAGCAACGGCGCCAAAAACTTGTTGGGTGCTAAATACCTAACACGCAAGTGCACGTATCGCAAACAAGTAGTAAAAGTGGACTCGTGAGAGTCGGATGTCGATCCCACAGGGAATACTCAAATTATCTAATCCTAAGTATCAAATTCTAACAATTATGATTTTTATCCAGCCTACGCAAAGTTGTCAAATTTAATCAACTAAATAATTAAACTAATTATGAAAGCAAATAAACACAATAAAATATCAATAAAAACGGACCTAAGATTTTATCTTCCCCCTATGCAAGAATTGCTCACCCAAAACCCCTCAATTATGGAATATATGATTCATGATTATTAACCCGAGACAGTAATTTACTCATAACCCGCTGTCGCGTGTATTATGAGTCTATTATTCATAAACGGTTCACTATATGTCTATGCAAACAAATTATGAATAAAGCATTAACTAACAAGTCTCGTAAATGGCTACCTAAGGTGATATCTGTATGCCTACGACGCCACATGCAATTGACACACTCATCCGGTGAAAACTACTCGAAGGTTCTTATACTTACCGTCTAATTATCAAAATAGCTCTGTCGAATCAATCCTAATAATCACAGATAAAGCACATAAATTGATCAAGTTCATGCACTAACAATCATAACAAGTATAAGAAGTAATCATAACAAGTATAAGAAGTAATCATAAAATAATAATTGCATAATCTCAAGAAAACGGGTTCACCATCCCCACATAGGGTTCCAACAAAATACTAGATTAAAAGCTTAGCTACTCGTAATTCTTATGATAAGCAAAATATAATAAATAAAATAAATAAGAAAAACTATGCTTGAGTCTTCGTTGATCTTCATTTTTCGTGTTTTGTGGTGTAAAATTTCGTGCTTATGGTGTAGAGGCTTGTTGCTTTTATAGGCTTTTCTTGATAAGGAAGTAGTGGAAACCTAATAGGAATCAATTTCCGCCACTTTCCCCCAACTGGATTTGTTCGTCGATTTGTGCCATGTTGGAGTCCGAATTTTGGAATGTTGTGCAAATAAGAATTTTAGCCCTTGAAATTAGCTTTCCAATGCCGTAAAAATCACCTAATTCGGAGTTCGTATGAGAGAGATCTGCTCGAAATGGTGTACACTGTCAAAGCTGTGGCGAGATTCTTTTTTTTTTTTCCAATTTGATTTGTTTCCTTATTTGCAACTTTTTCCTTTCTTTTTGATCTTTTTTCCTTCATGGACACCTAATTCTCGTTTTTCACCTATAAAACACAAAATCAATCAATTAAAGCACAAATATAATTAAATCTAAACAAAAGATCCACGTAAAGTAAGCGTATTGAGTGTAATATCTACACTCAACAGATACTAATGTGCATGTAGGAGAACAAAAGAAAAAGGTTGAGTTGGTTACAACACCTACTCAAAACACCGTGATAAAAGACGATGTTGGCAAGCCTCATGATATCAAGAAGAATAAATTCAAGGGCTTTCCTAAGCGAACCAGTCGAAAGAAGAATCGGATCAACCCATTTATTCAAGACTTTCTCCAAAAGGAAGTAACGAGATGGGTTCAAAAGCTAAGGAATTGAAGAGCAAGAACGAAGTCTGGCTGAAGACTATAAACTTAGCGTTTCTTAGGAGGCAACCCGAGATTTTCGTTTTTTTTTATTTTCTTTTTCTTTTTCTTGTTTTATTTTATTTATTTATTTTATAAGCATGCAAGCTAACAATTTAAACATGTTTTTAATTTTTAGGACATACAATTGCAGCTCTGGAGCTCATACGGCCGTCCCAAAACAAGGCAAAAGATCATACGGCCGTCCGGAAATTCTGGGAAGCTACTGCCCGATTTTGGCTTGGGGCGCGGCCGCAAGAGAAAAGCACTATAATCTCACACGGCCGTGCGAGAAACAGACAGCTACTGCCCCAATTTTGCAATTCGCACGGCCGTGCGAAAATCAGTTCAAAACTGACACGGCCGTGCCAGATGGACAGAAGCCCAATAAAAGGCGAAAACTTCAATAGCCCAGACATGGCCAAGACGACTAATTCAGGTGTATTCTATCCTTAAACTTCGTGCTAATTACATTGAGGGCAATATAAATTTTAAGTTTGGGGGTGGAAAATTACTTGCTTTTATGTGAAAAATTACTTGCTTTAATTTTTTAGTTTGCATGCCTTAGTTTTATTGATTGAGTTATTTTATTTTAATTTTTCTTTCGAAAAAAAAAATAAATAAAATTGTGTTGAGATAAATGCTTCGATGAATCATGATGATGAAAGATGGTTGATGTTTAATGATGAAAGTGTTTGTTTTATCTTGATTGTGATTGAATTTTGGTGAGCTTTTGATTCAAAGTGTCGTAGGAATGAGTCATTGTTAGGAATCACGAATTATGCCTTACTTTGGTTGAAAGTTTTGTGTTTTAAAACGTGGAATTAATTTATGCTATATCATATGCTATTCGGTTTTGGAACTTGCCTTAGGAATTTACAAAGTGAAATATTAAATTGTTGAGAAATTTGGGAAGTGATTTGGGCCATCTTTGAACCGTTTGAGCCTTTCAAGCCTACCTTTAAATTTTTATCATTCGAACCTTGATTGAGCCTTGGAGAAACGGTGTTCTTTCTTTTAGATGAAATAAAGTGGGTAGATTAGATGGTGGTTTCTTGATAATTTTTCCCTTGGAGCTTGGTTGAAAAAAAAATAAAAAAATGTTACGTTTTTCTTCTTCTTAAAAAAAATATAAAAAAAAAAAGAAGATAAAAGAAAGAGGAAAAAGAAGAAAGATAGAAGGGGTAGAAAGGACTTGAGAAAGATTTTAAAGTAAAAACTCGAACCATCATGTTAAGAGCAAAAGTGGAGACTTTTGAACTCTTAACAAATCGAGTTAGGTTATAAGTTCTTCGAGGTGAAGCAATAATTCCGAAAGCTAAATCTTAGCGAAAACACCTCTAGTCAAAAAAGAGAGTTAAAAATTTCGTCAAGTGCAACTCTTAGTGACTAAATGTGAGATGAAATGAGAAGAGTAGCCACTTTTACCCATATTTTCTACCTTGTACCAAAAGCCCAACATTTGAAAGCCAAAAAGTCCCAATGATCCCAATAGCTCAATTATTTGATACTAGCCGAGTAAGGAAATTTGGTGAGTCTTTGGAGTTAAATATTATTATGAAAGTATAAATTTTCTCCATTTTTAATTTGCAAATATGGGATACTTGAAGCGATAGCATGGTTTGTGGTTTTTGGCAAGGGTGAGTGAATACGTATGTTTGAATTACGAGCTTATAATTTTTTGAGAATTGTCATGATAATTGCAAGTTCTGAAAACATGAAATTGACCATCAAATTTTGTGCCTTTGCAAAGTTGTGCCCCAGTTTGGACATGACTATATAGTGTCCAAATGGATTTCAACTCAATGCCTCACGTTGTAAGGGTCCCATCCTGGCCTTTACTGTGGTCATCGGTTTCATGTAATGATTAGGGGAACATTGGGTCTCATTTTCTCTTTTCCTCTTGTTGTTAGCCGACTGTTTTTTTGGACCCATTTCTGGGAATACCACAAAAACACAAAATATACGAATGGGTAAGAAACTAAAGACTACATAAATTTTATGGGAATATACTCTGTAGTTTAGTCCACTATCACAGCTAAAAAACTAATAATCAAACTCGAAAAAACGAAAAGACAGAGTTTTTTGACCAAAAGAGTTTGGGTATGAACGCATATGTCTCTTAAGAGCGGCGCATGGATTACGATTTATGAGCCAAAGTTTAATTCAACAAGATTCAAATTTTAGCCGGTTTAATTTATTAATCATACTCATGTAAATTAGATTCTCATGAAGTGAAATTAAATATAATATATAGCTTAAGTATGGATTTTGAAAATCTTTTTGTGTGCCTTTTTTGTTTTCAACTTCGGCGCACGAACGGGGATACACGCCAAGCTTTCAATCCTTTAAAAGTTGTTGTCCAACATTTTTCCTTTGCTTATTGAGAGAATTGATGAAAACCACCACACATTTTGTGGTGAATGAATTTCTTATTTATACACAAAGTTACAGATTATATATGGTATTTACAATAATGAAATAATCAATTAGATATAATTAGGAGATACAAATGAGGGTCAAAGATAGTGCCTTGAGCTAAGGCAAAGGATTTGGAGAATGATTATCTTGAGGCAGAGAATCAGGACATTTATTCTTTACATCCCCCCGCAAGCTGAGCGTCGGATTTGAGCAAACGTGAAGCTTGGAACGAAAGAGTTCAAAGAGAGGCTTAGACACACTTTTTGTAAAGATGTCAACAACTTGCAAATGAGAGGGCACATATTGAGTGCGAAGCTTGTTGGCGAGAACAAGTTCACGAATAAAGTGATAGTCGAGTTCAACATGTTTCGTCCGCTTGTGAGAAACAAGGTTGGAGCTTAGAAAAATGGCACTTTTGTTGTCACATAGAATAACGGGTTGCTTGTGAATAGAAAATTTGAGATCACGGAGTACATGAGTGAGCCAAAGAAGTTCGGCAGCAGTGCTTGCTAAAGAGCGATATTCAGATTCACAACTAGAGCGAGAAACTGTGGGCTGTTTTTTGGCACTCCACGAGACCAAATTACCGCCAAGATAAATAGAGTAACTAGAAGTAGAACGACGAGTATCCGGGCATCCTGCCCAATCTGCATCTGAATAAGCAACTAGAGAAGCAGGAGCAGCAGATTGACGAAAGGTGAGACCGAAGTCCAGTATGTGCCTTTAACCTAGCGATGAATTCTTTTGACAGCAAGAAAGTGGTCATCGGTTGGAGAGTGAAGAAATTGACTAACCGAGTTGACGGCATGAGCAATATCCGGACGTGTGATAGTCAAATATTGGAGGGCACCAACAAGAGATCTATAAAGTGTAGGATCTGAAAAATAAGGACCGTCAAATGAGAGGTGTTGAGAGACAACCATTGGAGTGGGAACAGGTTTGCTGTCAAGTAGTTGCGCACGTGTGAGAATATCCCTGGCATATTTAAGTTGAGTGATAAATAGGCCATTAGAGGTGGTTGTTGCCTCAAGATCAAGAAAATAATTAAGCGGGCCCAAATCCTTAGTAGCAAACTATGTATTGAGTTTGGAAGGGAAGTTGGCAAGAAGAGACGAGTTGTTGCCTGTAAGGATTATATCGTCAACATAGAGAAGCAAAAAAATTATATTAGAATGCTTATGTAAAACAAACAGGGACGTGTCGGCACGGCTGCAATAAAAACCCAATTGAATCAGAAAGGAACCGAGGAGCTGAAACCATGCACGTGGTGCTTGCTTTAGACCGTAAATGGCTTTCTTTAATTGACAAACATGATTGGGAAAGCGAGGATCTATATAGCCTGGAGGTTGCTCCATGTAAACATGTTCAGTGAGATGACCATTCAAAAATGCATTTTTGAGATCAAGTTGTCGAATAGGACATCTGTGGGATACAACAAGAGAGAGTACAACACGTACCGTAGTAGCCTTGATGACAGGACTGAATGTGTCCGTGTAATCAATTTCGGGTACCTGTGTGTAGCCGTTGGCAACAAGACGAGCTTTGAGGCGTTCGAGAGATCCATCTGCGAAATATTTCGTCCGAAACACCCATTTAGATCCCACAATATCAGTATTGGTCGGTCGAGAAACCAGAATCCAGGTACAATTGTTTTTTAGAGCTTGAACTTCTTCATCCATAGCAGCAAGCCAAGCCGGATTTTCAGCCGCAAATTTAAATCCTTTGGGCTCAGTAGATGTCAAAAGAACAGAAAGAAGCCCATATGAATGCACAAGGCCCATATATGCCGGGTGACGTGGTTTATAGATGCCCGCTTTAGCTCGAGTGAGCATAGGATGAGAAGCTACTGGACCAACAACATTCTGATCAACCATAGGTAATTCTGGTGTAATCTCTGGGGTATCGGAGTGGGACAACTGTGGACCTGTATTATAATCATTTTCCTGCAAAGACTCATTAACCGGATCAGCACAAATAATACATGGTTTGGATTGATGAATTTGTCGAGAATGTGGCGTAGGTAAAGAAATGGCCTCGCTTTCTGACATGAGATTTGGTTCCAAAAATTTTGAGATTTCGAGAGAGGATATGGGTTGGGCATGAGAAGTTTGTTTAGGGGGAAATTATTGTTCGTCAAATTGGGCATGTCGGGTAATGTAGAGTTTTGAGGTTTTTAGGTCAAGGCAACGAAATCCTTTATAAGATGAATGATATCCCATAAAAACACAAGGTGTACTACGATGTGAAAACTTGTTAGTCATGTAATCACGTAAACACGGATAAACACGACAACCAAATGGATGGAAATTTTCGTAATTAGGAGGTGAATTATACAGGATTTCAAAGGGTGACTTACATTCGAGGAGTGGTGAGGGCAAACGGTTGATGATGTAAGCCGCAATGCTAAAAGGGTCAACCCAAAATTTAGTAGGACTGTTGGAATGGAAAAGGAGCGCCAATCCTGTCTCAGTAATATGGCGATGTTTTTTTTCAGCGCGGCCATTTTGTGCCGGTGTATAAGGGCAAATAATTGATGATGAATGCCACATGCACTGAGGTGTGTTTTGAAATGGTGGTTAGTAAATTATGTACCACCATCACCTTGAAAGATTTTTATACGAGCAGAATGTTGATTTTCAACAAATTTTTTAAATTGCACAAAGGTGTTGAAAAAATCAGATTTCAATTTCAAAGGATAAATCCAAGTGAAACGAGAGAAATCATCAACAAATAAAGCATAATACGTGAACCCGGTATTTGATTTTATAGGAGATGGTCCCCATAGATCACAATGAATAAGATCTAACACATTTGAAAATCGATGTTCATTATGGGAATACGGCAAACGGTGATTTTTTGCAATTTGACATGTAATACACAATGTTGGAGTTGGCAGTAAAGAGGTAAGATGAAGTTGGCCCTTTTTATTGAGAAACGAAATAACAGAGTGATGCACATGTCCAAGGCGAGCATGCCATAAATCATATGAAGCATATAAATATTTATTTTTCAAGACAGAGACAAGAGATAAATTTCCACGTTCTAGCACATATAGGCCGCCATCTCGTTTACCGGTTGCCACCATCTTTCCCGTTTGGCGATTCTGGATGGTGAAAAAATTGTCAGTAAATGTAACGGATAATGGAAAGTCATCCGTTAATTTACTAATGGACAAAACATTTTTAGTAATATGAGGGACAACTAGGACATCTAATAGTTGAAAATCAGGGGAATGTGAAATTTTACCGGTATGGGTAATCGGTAGAGACGCACCATTCCCGACAATAACACAATCCTTACCCGTATAAGAAGTGGACTGATCCAAGAATGATTTGGTTGGCGTCATATGGGGTGAGGACCCCGTGTCAACAAACCAACCTGAGGCCTCGTTTTCGGGTATAGAACATGATGCATTGAAAGCTTCTGCAAGTTAAACTTTAGGGGTATGAGCATGACGTTCATAGCGTTGTCTACACCGATCTGCATAATGACCATCTATGCGGCAGATTTGACAACGTGGGGGACGTCTACCAGAAGAGCGTCCTTGTCCTCGTCCATTGCCACCCCGATTCGGTTGGTGGCGGGAATAAGAGCCTCGGTTGGGAATTTTGGCAAGCTGGCGATTCGTCGCTATGAATGCGGCAGAGGATGGGGTAGTCGACTTCAATGATTTTTGAAACAGCTCAAAACTCTCCGCTTTTGGAACCAGATCTGCAAAAGTCGGCAAGGAGGGAAGGGACATTTGTGCAGTAGAGAAGCTCGAGAATTCCGAGCCAAGACCCCGGAGGAACCAATGGACTTTATCTGTCGGATCGACGGGTCGTCCAATTGCATGGAGTTGATCGCAAAGGGCTTTGAAGGCACGAGCATACTCCGTAACAGATTGGGATCCTCGTTTCATCGATTGTAAGTCATCCTTAAGACGGATTTCACGGGCTTTTGATCGGTGGCTAAAAGTGTTTTCCAAGGCAAGCCAAACGTCACGTGAAGTGGAAAGGCCCACAACTTCAGCCGTGGCCTCTTCGGTAAGACAGGATAGTAGAAGGCTAACGAGACATTGATCAGTTTGTTTCCATGTCACATATGTGGCATTTGGAGTTTGTGAATTTTCAGCAGTGAAGCGGGGTGGGATTGCGATGGTTCCACCGACATAGCCAATTAATTCTTGACCCTCTAAAAGGGGAAGGAATTGACTTTCCCACAGGAGATAATTTGAAGAAGATAGTTTGATAGTGATCATGTGAACGAGTGTATTGAAAGGAAGAATAGTAGAAGAAGATGGAGCGCCATTGAGGAAGAAAATGAAGAAATATATATATATATATATATATATATATATATATATATATATATATATATATATATATATATATATATATATTAATATTCTGGTCTCTTGATACCATGAGAGAATTGATGAAAACCACCACACATTTTGTGGTGAATGAATTTCTTATTTATACACAAAGTTACAAACTATAAATGGTATTTACAATAATGAAAGAATCAATTAGATATAATCAGTGTTCTAAAAATCGGCCGAGGCGGCCGATTAATCGGTCTCCGAGGCGGAGGCGGTCCAAAACCTTTACGATTTTAGTGTAAATTAAAGGTTTGAAAAATCGGTTTTTTGCCTGTGAGGCGGTTTTAAGCGGTTTGAGGCGGTCAAACCTTTAAGGCGGGTCAAACTCGGTGGCAAAAATCGGTCAAAAATCGGTTAAAATCGTTTTTTTTTCTTTTTATAATTCAAATAAAAGTTGGATTTTAATAAAAGAAAATATGAGTTTATGCCTTATTTTGTTTATGTTAATTGTTATTGTTAAAGAACTAATGATGTATGCCACGAATGTTCAAGAATAAATGTAAATTAAAAAAAAAGTTTTTTTTATTTATATTTTATAAGGATATTTATGTATTATGATCTTATGATTATTAAACTTTTATTATGTTATTAGGATATATATACATGATGGAAATATAACTATGTTTAAATATCTTTTTATATTTGTTTGGAGTATTTATAAATAATATTTAGAAATATATTATATTAAATTTTAAAAACCGAGTTATTTCCGATTTATCATCGATTAATCACCGCCGCACCGATTAATCGTGAGTCGGTGCCTGACCGACTCGGACCCGATTGCCGATTTTTACAACCTTGGATATAATTAGGAGATACAAATGAGGGTCAAAGATAGTGCCTTGAGCTAAGGCAAATGATTTGGAGAATGATTATCTTGAGGCTGAGAATCAGGACATTTATTCTTTACACTTATATAGTCATGATGGCTAGTAAAATGGAGAGACTATTCTCATATAGTTTAGGAAACTATTGTGAAAATTTCAATCCAATCAGACAAGCGGTTGATTTATGGTGAAGTTTCTCTTGAGATTACTCAATAATTCGGGAAAGAATCTAAGCTCATGAGATCTCCAGTCTTCTATTATATATCTCGATTCATTATTCTTCTATAAGGGTGGGAAATTTAAAGAATTTTAAATCTATAATTAAGAGACTGAGAGCGAGAAAAAAAAAAGTGAAAAAAATTTCTTCTTCCAAAACACGTTGGACTGTACAATGTTTTGTCTTCTCTTTCCAGTCAAGTCTTGTATATATAGGGTACTAAGAGCCCGTTTGGCTAAACTTATAAGCTCCTAAAAACATCTTATAAGATGTTTAGGAGCTTATAAGTTGTTAAAAGGTGTTTGGTAAAAAAATTGCAAAAGATCTTTTTTTTTCAAAAAATAAGCTGTTAGGGAGCTTATAAGATGTTTTTAAAAAAGTACCTCTACCCCACCTTTTTTCTTTAAGATCTTATTTGCTTATTTACTAAAACACTTAAAATACAAAATTACCCTCAAATATTTTATTATATTACATGAATACTAATAATATTTATATTTTATCAAAACAACGTATTCTTGTAATCAAGATTAATAATTAGTTAAATATAATTATCGTAATTATCATAATAATTGTAAAAAAAATATTCTCTATTTATATTTTATATGTATATAAAAATACACGAATATTCTTATTATCTCCATAATAAATTATATTTCTTTTACAACTTTTATTTTATATTATTATATAATTTAATATTATTATTATTTTTATTTGAAAAAATAATTTATAAATATTATAATAATATTTTAGGAACAAAAGTATTTGAGTCAAATAAGTTTAACAATTATACTGGCATCATGTACTTTTTTGTCATTATAGCAATAAACAGACCTTTTATTTCCAAACACCTGAACAACTTATAAAAACAAAAAGTAACTTATAAGCTAATATCCAAACACCTTAAAAAATAATTTTTAAAATAAGATCTAACAGCTTATCAGCTCCTAAAACATCTTATCAGATGTAGGAGCTTATAAGATGTTTTAAATAAGCTTAGCCAAACGGGCTCTAAATTCTTCTGTTTTTTACTACTACTACTACTACTCTATTTTTTTATATACAATTTGTTGAATTTTATTTTCGCATTTAATTAGAAAATTCATTGGGCAACAATAGGGACTAAATGGGAAAATATAATTCGAGCCATTAATAATTAATAAAATTCAAACTATAAAAAGAATTTATTTAATTAATCAATAAATAATTATTTATTTTTCACTACTAATTAACTCCTATTTATATTCTTAAATAATACATTCGAGGTCCGGCCGATCATTACTCAAATTCTCCCCACATTAAGGTATCTTATAAGTTATAACCGTCAAATAGTTTATTCACAGTTATATAAATTAAAGGGTTAATTAGCATTTACCACCTGTACATTGCCATTTTTACACTTTGTCACCTTAACAAAAAATAAATTGCACGGGCACATTCAAATCCGTTTTTTGACTCACTTAATCACCTAGAGCGAATAATCGGGCGAATCTTCTCAAATTTCGGCGCACACACGAAACACATGACTAAGTACATGGGTTTTCGTCTTTTCAACTAAAGATATTTGTAGCAACAAATTCTTATATGTGATCTAAACAAATAAGAAAGACTTGCACAAAGATAATTTACTGAATTAAAATAAATATTGTGGATACAAACTCTAATTTAATCATCTGATTCTTCTTTCAAGAACAATATATGTTTGACTTTGAATTTCGGAGCTGAGTCGTTGACTTGATCTTCTCCGGATTTTATTTTGAACTTGAATAACATTTTTTTAGGGTCTTGCGACTTGAATCTCAGATTGAAAGCTCAACTTTGACGAGCTTTGACTTGAAGAACTTTGAGTTCTTGATGAATTTGGCCCTTCAATCTTCATTCGATCTTGATTTGATGAGGAACGCTTGAAATGTTGTAGAGAGAATTTTGTCCCACGGTTTTTCTCCTACTTGAGATGTGTGTTTTGAATTGTGTAGGGTGGGTCCGTATTTATAATAGTAGAACAAGAGTCCTTCATAAATTTCTTTGATGACGTGGCACAATTGTATTGACTCTCTTTAAATTGATATTTATCTCTTATAACTTGAAAAAGAAGA